ACTGACTATATCAATGATGAGATTGACTTTATTTGAATTCAATACTTTAATAAAATTATTAAAAAACATCAATAAAACAATCATCAATTGCTATTTCTTGATAATTATGAATTTCATTGCATTGAAGAATTTCTGCAATACTGCAATCTTCACAAGATAATTCTATATGAATTTCCTTCATATTCAACACATATACTACAACCACTAGATGAGGTGCTATTTCAGCAATATAAACATTATCATTTAAAGACAGTTAATCAAATCATTTGATATGAATATGAGCAATATGAAAAATATTAATTTTTATAGAATTTAATTGACATCTGTAAAAAAATCTTTCAACTCTTCATTATTCAAACTGATTTTATAAATTATGATATCATTTTTTTTAATTTATAATTTATATTCAATAAATTAAATTCTAAAGTTTCTGACTGCTCTAAATTGTGAATATATGAAGAAAATAACTCTTTTTCTTTTCAATCAAATTGTTCAATTACTTTCTTCTCACAATTATTCTCCTTGAAGATAATTGAAAAGCTATAATATCATATTCAAATAACAAAGAAAACAATATAAAATATGAAAAATATATTCAATTTCAAATCATCTCATTTGAGCAATTGATTGCACAAGATTTTCCAAGACAGTCTCATACAGATGGAATTCAATGCTATTGTAATGTGACAGCACCGAGGCGATTGCTACTCAGCAGCGGCACAGAGAAGGATGGTATACAATGAAAAGTTTTATGAATGAATTTGATTATTTCATTTGAACCGCAAGCTTATAGAATACTATACAAACACTGAATTATCAGAAATACTCAGCACATTAAGAATATTGTATGATGTATGTATGTATGTATAGGTTTAACGTCCCGGAGAGAACACGAGCAGCGCCCGTGTTTCAGAAGCCTCCCGAAGGGCATGGAGACGTGCTACGCTGGAGAGATTTCTATGTACACAGAGAGAGAAAACAGAATCCAGGTGGCAACTCTTGAGAAGACTCAGCTCATTGCAAAGGATTTTTCTGAGCTGCGCATCCACTTCTGGCCCGACGTATGGCCATTCATGGTGGGGCTATAGTGTGGTTCCCTGAGGGGACCGCCGCTGCCGTGCCTGGAAGGCTTTATAGTGAGCAGAGAGGGATACCTCTCTCAGTTGATCAGAAAGCTGTCTGTGCTTCTAACATCAGAAGAAAGACAGACAAGATAAATAATGAAGGAGAGAGCACTGAAGAAGGTTGTGACAGGAAAAGAGCAGAGAATGACAGAGAGAGCAAAGAAAAGAAGGAAGAAGAAGCATTTGAGCCGATAGAGACAAGGGCAAACGAGAGGAAAACAAAGCAGAGCACGCGTAGATACAATGCCGGCAGTCAAAACCATATCAGCTGAGTCAGACACGTAGACTGTACTGATTACACCACAGCTAATTGAGACAGATGAGCCTAGTTGTGCTATCTGTACTGTCTGCATAGACTGTGATGTCCCTGGCAGTTGCACTAGCTACCGTGGGTGTACTCAGCAGGCCGGCCTCGTGGAACTGCTGCGGGGGTTGTCAGATGGTTTGCAGCCAGCCGGCTGCGTTACCTTGTGCAGTACCGTGTGTAGAACTGCGTGCAGTCCAGCAGTTCTACAAAGTCTGTAGGGGTCAGAGATCCTAGATAGGCAACAGCTGTCGCCCGGTTGTGTGGCCGTGCTGCTGGCCTCTTGGGCCAGTGAAGAAAATGCCTCTGTGAGTGTCGACAGAGCACCAAATGTTCTGGGCTCTTGTTGTGTCCACAGACACAGGTGAGCCTCGCATCTGCATGCTGGAAACGCCTGTGGTACCAGGAGAAGTCCCCATGAGAGGAGCGGAGTGCGAGCCAGCGGTGAAGGGCATGCCGTGGCATGGTGAGCTCCGGAGGGGCCTTCACTTGGTATTCCACAGTCGGCCTGCTGAAACTCCAGCCCCGGTACCAGTCAGAGAGCTTGCCACAGGCTCCACTCCACCACTTTCGCCTTGCCTCTTGGCTGAGCTGCTTGGCCACTGTGCGGACCCCACTGACTGTGGGTGTGGCCTCGAGACCATAGGCTGGGGCTGCAGTGGATGAGACTGCCCGCTTAGCCAAGCGGTCTGCTTCCTCATTGCCCTCTATCCCCATATGCCCAGGAGCCCATTTCAGGCCGACATTGTGCTGTCTGAGGAGCTCATGGCAGCGGTTGTAGGCCCAGTTTGAGGAGGCTGCTGCACTGCCCCGTATGCCCCAGATGACTGAGGTGTTGTCGAGGCAGAGCCAGATTTGAGGGTTGCTGCTGTCCTCTGTGACACAAGGTAGGAGCTTCACAGCGCACTCTAATGCCCGGCAGGCACCAACTGCCTCAGCGTCGAAGACATGTGACATAGGGCTCAGCGCAGCTGAGAAGCTGGCCAGCTGTTTATTTCCCTGATAGACTATGAAGCCATAGCCCACCTGCCTGCTGTTGTCAAGGCTCCGTTCTGATCCATCTGAGAAAACATATAGATCTGTTGAGGGTTGACTTCTCCACCATTCCTTGAATGCCTGGGCAGCACTCTTTTTGTCTACACCCTCTGTGGGGTCTGTCCCGCATCCCTCTGAGTAGTGTGGGATGGCAAGTGTGGGTCTATTGACTGCAGGTAGCAGCGCCCCCAACCGCTGGATCTTGGTCTTTGAGCGCTGCCGGGTTCCAGCCCCTCTTCCTCGTGTGATCATTGGAGGCGCTATCCGTGAAGCCAGTGGGTGCTTCTCATCCACCACCTGAAGCCTTGTCGCGAATCGCATTTTGGCCTCCTCCAGAGCTACCATTGCTGATGGGAGCCCAGCATCCCGGTATAGGGTAGCGATGGGCGTTGTACGGAAAACTGGGAGGACCCCTCTGGCTGCCATAGTAAGCACCTTCTCAACTGTCCCCACATGCCATCCCAGGCGGGAGCTAACCTCCCCACTCCTGCCCGTGTGCCTTGCTGGCTGCGTGCGGCCGCCGTACCAGGCCTCTGTGCCATAGAGCAGTGAGGGAACCACGCAGGTGGTGACCGCCTTCCGCAGAGCGTCTGCTGGGGGCCCGTCTCTGGTCTTTCCCAGACTCCGGATGTGCTGGGCCACGGCCCTTGCCTTCTTTGCCCGGGTGGAGACATGTGGTCTCCAGGTGAGCCTTCTGTCGAAGTGTACACCCAGCCAGCGAAGTGCTGGCTCCTGTCCAGCTGGGGCAGTAACAGGGTGAACAGTGAGATCCTCAGACACAACTACTGCTGGTGCCTCATTGTGTCGCTTTCTTGTAAGATGGATCATCTCAAGTTTCTCTGGTGCGAAGGCCACCTTGTTTATCTCCCCCCACCTCAGAATACTCTGTATATCCTGTCTGAGAAGGGTGGCATTGTTGTCAAGTGAGTGGGTCGCCCGCCAGATGTTCAGATCATCCGCATAGCCAAAGCGCAACTCTGAGTTTTGCCACAGCAGCTCTGCCAGGTACAGAAGGAACAGTATTGGTGACAAAGGAGACCCCTGTGGCGTGCCACATTGCATCTGATGTGCTGCTGTGGTGGTCCCCTCCAGCCGGACCTGAGCTCTGCGTTCAGCGAGGAAACTGTCAATGAGCTGCAGCAGCTCGCGTGGCAACCCCTGCTGCGCCATTCAAAGATAGTGAAATAGAGCAACAGAGGTTTATTGTGGCGGACGTAAAGCTTGCGAAAACAGAATTTTCTGCCACCCCCTGAAAAATAGTAGCAAAACACCGCAGAAATAACCAAAATATCCACGTATCTCTAGAATCATTCAAATATCATCCAATTCATTCAAATACGCACCTTTATCATCAAATCTGCACCTTTATCATCAAATCTGCCAATATGCCCCGCAACACCCACCGTTCTACTGCCTCGCAAGCTCGTAAAAGGACTCCAACTACCCTGCGTCTTCGTCTGTCCAAAC